GCACTCAGGGTTTTGTCAGTTGGGTGTGTCAAAGCATGAGTAGCACACCGCTGGAAAAGTGGAGAAACTTGTACGAGAACAGTTCTCGTTTGACTGCTCTTTTAACCGTTTTTGATCATCTGTACAAAGTGGAAGACCTTTCATCTTAAGTTTTATAAACTAAGCTTCAGTTGAAACCACACCCTGCCTAGGTGCGTAGCCACTGAACATTTCCCCCAGTCTTTTCCAACGCTGAGAGGTCAGAATGTAATGTTGGCACTGTCGTGTCGTGACTGTCCTGCCCTGTTGTCTGCACTTGTCTCCTGCTTCCCCAGCCACCCCTGGGTTTCAGAATGCTTATTTGCACATTACTACGTATACTACTGTAAATACCTGTTTATTTATCTTTATCTACTCATGACATGGCATATAAGTAAAATTTTAAAAATTACCTCATTAGCTGCTAATGATTCTCGGTTCTGACTGTTCTAGTGCATTGTGCACCTTGGCCCCGGAGAAACTATTTCGTTCTCTTGTACATTTGTATAGGTGCAGAATGACAATAGTGAAAGTGAAAATGAGGGAGGGCAACATCCTCGTACAACAGATTAGCATTTAAAGGGGCTGTAGTGGTTGCACATGCACTCCTTTCTAGCCCCGTGATATGACTGGCAGTGACTGCTCCCTGGCAGGACACTATGTGCTGCAGAGAGATTGTGGGGTTGTGCCTAATCTGACAGCCCTACTGCTTTGGAAGGTGTACGGAAGCCTCATTCTCTCGTGCTCAATTCTCCCCTTCTCCTTTTCCCAGATGAAAAGCAGCCATCGATCCTGGAGGCTCTGTCCAAGCCCAAGGCTGCCCCTAAATCTGTCAAGGCATCAGTCCTGACCTCCAGCGACTCCGACCTGCCGTCGAAGTCAACAGAGCAGAAGAAATCTACTAGCACCAGCACGGCCAAGCCGAAGGCCAGCCGGAAGAGGAAGACCTCCGAGTCCGACACCAGCTCCGATGATCTCATATCCCGCATCACCGGCAAAAAGACAGCAAGCAAGGTCAGTCGAGCTGCTGCTTGTCTAGGGTGAGCTGCTGTAACAAAACCCCTGTCAAGCATCCAGCAGAGGTAAAAGGTTTTGCCTGTGGTGCTGCCTACAGCCATGACAATGTGGCATTGAGCCAAAGCATATTGCCCTGTCCCGTTTCAAATTATTATTTTTTTTTTCAGATAAGGTTTTAATCCTACTAGTCTTGTTTACAGCAAAAAGCATTTAAATTGCAGGCGTCTTGATATACCTTGAATGCTGCTAGTTTGCATTGAGCGGCAGATTATAAATTGTGATTTTGTGTATTAGCTGTTGGTTAAACAGCTGATAACCAAGATGGTTACTTACTATCTGCTGTGCCTCAGACTTCTGCAGCTGTTTAAGATCCTATTTTTCTTTCAAATTATATTTCTTAGGTAACAGGTGATGATCCATGTGCAACAGCGCTTTTTTGCCTTTCAAATCGGCAATCGAGAATATCAGATGGTTCAGATCCACCACATTTCACATTCAGTGTTGCTGGAGAAGGCAGTGAACGTGGGCCTGTGTCCTGACCCACCCGGTTCCAGTGGTTACATCCTCTCCTCCGCCTGGGTCCGTGTCCTTCCTTACCCTTTCCCTACCTGTGTCCCTCTGTCCCTCAGAAAGCGAAGAAGTGGGAAGACGACGAAAGCTTCCAGCTGTCGGACGAGGAGGAGCTGCCAGTACGGAGCAGAGTGGGCCGAGCCAAGAAGCCTGTATCGTACGCCCTGGATGACTCGGACTCGGACTTCTAGAGTGCTGTACTTCCTGGCTGGGCACAAGGACGTGATTAGCAGGGCACTGCGATCAGCACCTGTGCATTGTCATCTCCCCCCCTGGGCCTGCTGCAAAACGACACTGCCTGAATTTTAATTTGGTTCTACTAGAAAAATACTCCGAAGGGGTTTTCAATACCACTGTATTAATGTCTGACAGTTTTAACTGTTGTAGCTATTTTAGATTTTTTTTCTGCTGAAATGCTGCTTTAAAGCATTTTTGTAGATTCTCGTGAATATTTGAGAATCTCAGCTTATGGCTCAATCTAACTCAACTTCAAGGCACCTGTAAGTTTAGTACTTTTTCTGAAGCATTTGTTGAAATGAACAAAGTTTTCGATATAGACATGACATACTAGAGGGATATTTGACCTCTGGATCTGAGCAGAAGTGGATACATCGCAAGTAAAGTGATGGTATTCTGCAGCACTAGCCTGAAATCACTTGGTTTTACAACGGAGGAGGTCTCAAAGCTGACAAATTAGTCCCCGTTTCAGTGCAGTGGAAATCCACCTACTGACAAGGTAGAGGTTAAAATGTTTACTAAAAGTGGGAAGGGGGCGAGAATTAATTTCGCCTACATATATAAGGTTTAATTCCCTTAGCAGTGAAGTGAGTCCTTTACTGTTGGTCGCACAGGTGTGGAAATGTGTAGGGCACTGGGTTCTTATTAGTGTGTGTGTCTCTGCCGCGTTGACAGAACACTGACAGTCCACACCACCTTTAAACTGGACACAGGTTTCCTGTTGCATTTTCCCCCTTGTTCAGGCCGGACGTTTTCATTGTAAAATCCCATCTGTCTGAAAGCGCTGCCTTCATATTAGAAGCTGTTTTTTGTCTTGTGCGTTGTCTTTTGTCCTGTAAATATTTTCTAGTGCATCTTTTTTCTAAGCTTTTTTTATTTTTATATCTTCTGTGATCTTAATGTTTAAATAAAATCTACTTTTTTAATGCTCAAACAAGTTGAATTGTTGTTTTTTTTCTGACTTCCTTTTTTGTTTGCATCTTGAACACCCGCACAACCCAGTTCTTGAAATATGCCCTGCGAGATTCTTTGGAAATTCACTGTATGTATGCTGGCATTTGGTGACGTGTTTACTTGCAAATATCCAGTGCAACTGCTTCAGAAAGCACTGTGTGGATGATGGAATACTTGCATATTACAGTGGAGAATGAATTTATACTGTGCAGATAATACTGTAGGCAGTGCTGAGTATCTGACTAGAGCTAACAAATAAGATTCCTTACAGCAGCACTTTATAGTCCTCTGGAATCACCATCTACTGACTTTTACTCCAAATGATCTTAAATTGAATTAGGCCCTTTTTGATTTTTTTTTAAAGTGAGATCCACCAATTTTCTGTGTGATTTGCAATGTGCTGGTTTGCAAGAACTGGAAACGGTTAAGTTGGCAAATTAGTTTGAATTGGTGTGTGATTGTAGGTCCTTGGGGTTTTGCCTATAGAAACACTGGAGGTTTGCCATAGGGCTAGGAAGGGACGAATCGGTGCTTGCTCAACTATAATTTGTAGCTGTTTAGGAATGGGGATGAGTAAGCCTTGGTACTGTACTAACTGGTCATCCTGCGCATTTCTGTGCATTCTGTTCATAATGCTTACACAGTTGTGGGAGTCTGAAACAAGTTACTTAATCATGTGGTTCAAGCCAGCACCCTGATTTATTTCAACCCGTTGTATCAATTAGCTGGTTTGTAACATTCATGTTCAGAAACCGTCATGTTTAAGATCAAGAATTTCTATAAAAGTGGTTTCAAGCGTAACAAACGATTCGAGGTCTTTGTTTCACAAGCTTATACGTGGGAAGCAAACACTGAAATGTAAGTTGGCTCAAATAGACGGGCAAGTAAAATGTTTCTTTACCAGACTAACTTTTCACGGAGGAAACCTTCAAAGCTTATAAGATGGTAGAAAACTGCAGTTCAACTAGTTGAAGGTGTGTTGACACGCGATACATTTATTGCAGCGCATTAGTTAATGTTTCTGAGGTTATAGCTTTAAGCCGTAAAACGACCTGGCTGGCTTGTTTGTAGGGCCCTCGTTTGGAGATCTGATTTAGGCTAATTGTCCAATAAAACCCTCTGCGTCAATCTATAGGCATTTACCACTTCATTCAATACAAAATAACTGCTTTCTACTTCCTTATAATTTCTCTTAGCCCTACGGAACGACCTCTTGAGCAGACTTTGCTTCAAGGACGCAAATATTGGACGTGATTTGTGATCTGTTTTCCCAATCTTGCTTTATCTTTAGAGCTTCGGCAGCCCACGGATCAGGGGATTAGACCTGCGAGGGCCGCGCTAAAACACGCGCGCCGAGTTTGTCAGTCAAGAAACGTGATTCTTCCGAGATTTATCCGATTTTGGGACAGGTGCATTTATAAAAACAAAACTCAGAATCGACTACCTCCCCACCACTCCTCGCCCATATACCCAGCTGAGCCAGCTCTTGCACAATTAGTGCGTGGAAACTTAACGAGCGAGGTGTGAAATTCAAGCCGGGGCATGAATTGATACTGCAAAAGGAGTCCGACACGATGAAACCGCGACGGGGGCGGTCAAAATATTCTGGCTAACCCCGCTGCGCGGTTCAAGCTGCTCTTAATGAGGACCGGGAGCTGGCAGAAGCAGAAAGAAAAACAGTCTTCGGAAGTGATAAGAGAAACAAGGAATTCTGAACTGTCCCGGCGTCTGGAAACTCAACGCGGCACGGGAAAAGCACTTGGCAACTCCGAGGAGTTAAAAAACTAGCAGCAGCAACAGAGAACGTGCGGCAGGGGACCGTGAGTGCTGGGCTCACCTGGAGACCCGACGTTGTAAAAGGTAGGATATGACTCAGACTTCTCATTCTTTTTTTTTCCTCTATTTTACGGTCACGTTAAAAAAAGGCAGAACCGGAGTTTTATACCCAACACCAGCATTTCCATTTCCCATTATGTTATTTTTTGGAGCCAATTTCTTTTCCATCTTTTTTTTTCTCAAACTATTGTACACGTGAGAATCCTCAGTTCCCCCCCCCCCTCCCCAGTTTTAAAGGCGGGAGGAATTAATAATCGAGATTCCCTGAATCTCCTAAGTTTCAGTTTTGCATTCTGGAGGGAACACTGACGAAGCACCTGTTCAGACCCGATTCCGGACACAGTCGGACAAGAGCAACGCGGTGCCGCTTCATCATGCGACTCGGCTCGACCCCTGATAGCGAAAGACGCGCTCTGTAATGCGCTCTGGGCCTTTTTTCCCCCACCCTTTGTCTGTGAATATATAGATTAGCGATCCTTTCTTCTGAGACACCCTGAGCTGCTTTTCTGCTTGGAAAGGAGGCAGAGTGGAAAACCGAATCCTTAGGACAGGACGTGAGGAGAGAACTCTAGCACGGTACCCTTATTCCTGACAGGAGCTGACAATCATGAAGCCGGGAGACGCCCTGGTGAGCAGGCGATTAGGTGTTATTATCCCGTACAAAGCGCTAACTGAGCTGTAAACCCATTCACACGGTGCCTGAGTTGACGCCAAGTCGGAGTGGTGTAACAGGAAGCTTGGAATGTGCCTCGATGTGGGGTGCAGAGCAGTGTAAGGAGGGGAGCAGCCGTTATTAAGGGCGTGTTGTACAGTATATTGTCTGCACAGGCTGATGGTGACTGTACTGCCCGCGCCAGGCTAGCTGTGTGCCGGGGCTCGTGCGTGGGTAGTGGGGGACGGCGGGTGTAGGGGTTACCCAGTGGAGGGGAGTAGGGGGTGGAAACAGTGCTTTTTGCCAAAGGAGTGGCATATCCCTCCCGTGACTGTGTTATGGTTTGGCGTGGCCCAATGTCCTCGCTCTCTCTTCCCCGGAAAATGCCGCCCCTATCAGCAGTGTCCCCCCGTGAACTGATTGCACGCAGGACCTGCAGTGAAAATACTGCCTTTCCTGTAATTATGGGAGCTCTTTTAAGTGTTGATCAAGAAAGTTGGGTAGGCGGAATTCTTTTTTCCTCGCTTCCAGCAGGAGCTGGTGGGTTTTTTTTTTCCCCCTACATCCCTGCCATTGTCCCTGGAAGAGCTCTGGTGTGCTCCATTCGGACAGAATCGCGGATCGGCTCCGGGCCCTGTCGGCTGTTCAGATCCGATGTGCGGCCTGTCATCTCTCTAGTCCTGAGCTGGCTTGGTCCTACGGGAAGCGAATCTGCTGTCTGGTGAGAAAACCTTGGCATCTTCATGCCTTGGGATAGAGCATTTCGGCTTCAGACAAATCCCAAAGAAATTCAAAACTAGGATTTCTAGACTGACTGTATTGAAACCTTTCAGTGCTGTCACTGTTCCAGGGACAGGGTACGGGTTAGACAGGGCAGTAGTCATGAGAAACGTTCTCATACATCTTCTTCCAGATGTATTTTGGGGAATCTGTGGCAAAAAGTCTGGTCTGCTTTGTTTTTTTTTTCCCAAGACTTTCTTCCAAATATCTAAGGAGTCTGAGTTCATGGGAGACCGAAGTCATTGCCTTTCGCTTTTGAAGAGAGCAAGAGTGAGTCAGGAGAGGTGAAGATTTCAAACTTTTAAGAACAAAAGCTGGATCACACTCTGTAGGTTAAACAACATCTTTTGAATTAATTTGAGTTTCTCTGGAGTGCAGCGATGATTAATGGAAATGCGTGCTGTTTTTCAACACGTCCTGCCAAGAAGGAGTACAGTGCTCTATTGTGAGCGTTGCATTTGGTGTTTTTTATTCCAGTAACCATTTGTATTTTTAATGTAACTACCTCCAGATAAAATTGTGTATTACTTTTATATGTCATTTGAAATCCACTTTAAGGGAACAACGGCAAGAAATTGTATCGGGCTAATAAAGTGATGTTACAAACCGAACAAGGTAATTTCGTACATCTGGTAGTTAAAAAGTTATTGATCCAAGCACCTCACTTGGCTGTTTCTTGAAAGAAGCAGGGTATCAGCTTCAGCAACATGGGTGGCTGGCTTGTTGGGTAAAGAAGTAGGTCCTGTTCTCAGTTTTAATGCAGTTGTATTTTGTCCTCTGGTTCATGATTCACAGTTGTGTGTGTGTGTGTGTGTGTGTGTGTATTTGCCTGATGCTTTTATGCAAAGTGGGTTAAAATGGGTCCCCACATGTGTTCAGCTGGAAGATCTTACTGGAGCAATTCAGGGGGAAGTATTTACTCAAGGGTATGATATCAGTGCCTCACTGGGGATTTGAACCCAAAACCTTCCCGTTTCAAGTCCAGAGCTCTGGTCACCAGTCCTCACTGCTGCTCTGTCCGTGGTGTAGTCCTCTGGGTTGACTTTGTCACTGCCTGTGGGGGAGTTTTACACAAGTGCTCATACGCCTCCCCTATTCTCCATGAACGAAACAGGCAGTCAGCGAGATCTGTGACCCTTATTCCTGACGCTGCGGTTTCTGTCCTTTAGGTCACCGACTTTACAGAGTGGTACAAGGGCAGCCGGGAGATGTCGGGCCGAGATGAACCTCGACCTCTTCAATCATGCTGGGGAGAGGAATGCATAGAATCCTGACTTCCCTCCATATTTCCAAGGCTCAGAACAGGCAAGTCTGTGAATCTTGATATTCCAGGTGGGAGGCTGGGAATCGAGTTCAGAATTCCGTTTGGAGAGACGGCCAAGCCGGGTTCCGTCTGTCCCAGCACTACGGCTTTCCTGCTGTCAGCGTCGGCCACGCCATAACCACTTAAGGTCTTTGAACATTTCTCAAAGCTACCCTGTGGATGATGCTTGTTTAACAAAGCCTCACCAGCACTCGGATGGGGTTGTGCTTGACTATGGGCTGGGAGCTGTGCTGAGTAACAGCACCGAGAAGGGAGCACGTGGAAACCAGCAGGCAGAACCACACCCCCCCCCCTCCCTCAAATTCCAAGGCGTAAGCTGTCAGGAAGTGGAGCCTGGAAGGCGGGCGTTGGGATCCCAGCCATGGCCGAGTGGGCCTTCCTCAGCACCCTGTTTGACAGCCTGCAGGGCCACTCGCCCCTGCTGGGCCGCTTCTGGATGCTGCTGATGCTGGTCTTCCGCATCCTGGTCCTGAGCACGGTGGCCGGCGACATGTTCGAGGACGAGCAGGAGGAGTTCGCCTGCAACACCCTGCAGCCGGGCTGCAAGCAGGTCTGCTACGACATGGCCTTCCCCATCTCCCACTACCGCTTCTGGGTCTTCCACATCGTGCTGATCTCCACGCCCTCGCTGCTCTTCCTGGTGTACGCCGCGCACCTCAGCAGCAAGGGCGGGGGGGGCGCGGCCCGGGAGTCGCGCCGCCTGCGGCTGCTCTACCTGGTCAACGTGGGCTTCCGCCTGCTGGCCGAAGTGGGCGCCCTGGTGGGCCAGTGGTGGCTGTACGGTTTCACGCTGGAAGCCCAGTTCCCCTGCCAGCGGTTCCCCTGCCCCTACACGGTGGACTGCTTCACCTCCCGCCCCATGGAGAAGACGGTCTTCCTGCGTTTCTACTTCAGCGTGGGCGCCGTGTCGGCCCTGATCAGCCTCACGGAGCTCCTGCAGGTGTCCTACAAGCTGGCCTGCTCCTCCGGCCAGCTGGGCCGTCGCACCTACGGGAGGGAGAACCTGCGGAACGCTGCCCACGAGGCCGCGGGGCAGACCCTTTCTCCGGACCTCGCCGGCAGGGCGAGCCCACAGCCCGGGGGCAGCCGCAAGCCGGACCCCCGCTCCGGCTCTGTCCGCAGCTCAGCGAGCTCCAGGACCTGCAGTAGCTCCAAATGCAAGACCCACAAAGGGTCCCTGGTGGTGTGAAAATGGGTGGGAGGTGCAGATAGGAAGAATAAAGGCGGGGGGGGAAACCCCCAACACTCTGACCCACTGACTCACCGCAGCAGGGTTTTGAGGATCTGGTCTGCTTCAAAGAAACTTTGTGTTAGGACGTGCTTTTTTTTTGGAGAATGGGGGAAAAAAAGGACAGATCTTTTTATCGCCTGCCTTTGCATCGTGCAGACTCTTCCTCCAGCCTTGCCAGCAGCTCGGCCCGGGAGCTCAGGGCCGGGCTGGGCTGGAGGAGGGGTCTGCGGCCCCCCCAGTGCCCTGGATCACAGCCATGCCCACCGTGGTCTGGGCAGGGTCTGGGGGGCACAGCTTGGCCTGGAGGAGGGGTCTGAGGCCCCCCCAGTGCCATGGATCACTGGGCACTGTGGTCTGGGGGGGCACAGCTGGGCTGGACCTTGTACCTGGAACCCCTGAGCAGGGGGCAGAGCAGAAAGGCGCATGTTCCTGCACTGTGCTCAGAAATGCAGGAAAGGCCCGTTTTATCAGAACAAGACTTGGGAACAAGTCAGGCACCTCCAGGGGAGTAATGGACTATTTGTGATGGTTTAGGACTGAGGAAATGGATTAGGAGACATACTTGTGGGCAAATGAAATGCCCAAATGTCTGTTAACTGGAAATTTCTTCAGCAGCTCTGACATGACCGTTCAGGCAGTGTGGGTACGGAGCTGTTATAAGTGAGATGTATTCGGCAGTGTTCGTTTGCATTGTGGGACATTCTTCTCAGTGCTGTCGACTAAGATTAGTTCTGCTAAAATGATTGCTCTGTTGTTAAGCCAGTGAATTTTCTCTTAAACTGACAAAGCACTTCTTGGGAGGCAGTGTGTGTTTTTTGTTCATGTGCTGGTTATTTCGTTGAAATATCAGTCAAACTTCCTATCGAAGGAAACAAAAGCAGTTTTTTTTGTAAATTGACATATTTCCCCTATAACTTTGATTGAACTCTGCACCAATTGGATTAGTCTTGCGTAGATAGTCACTTCTCTAGCACACAAATATTGTACTATCCAAAAAGCCAGGCAGCTGCACAGGAGAACAGAAGACATGAAAGAAATGAAATTAATATTAAGTTGTCATTAGGTTAACGAAGTCTGTTATTTTATAGAGCTGTCCAAATTTCCTGAAGGCCAGCAGCCATATCACCCTGCAACCCACTGGAGCTCAGCAGGTGTGAGCCTGGCCAGTACC